GTTATTAGGGTGTGCTAACTTTATTTTGTAGTGATGGACATTCAAAATTTGGATTGAAGGATGAACCTCAACTGAACATAGACCTATATGATAGTTTAAAATCTTTGGAATTCTACTACCCTTAGGATAAAATGTTGAAATTTCATTCATTGATAACAACACTTAAACCTTTCAAGAATAGATAGTAACTTCAATCGAAACGTTTCTTAAGTAGTTTTGATTACTTAAGGTGTAATTAAGTATAAGGATTTACCCTTATAGGAGAAGTTGAACCCCAACATAAGTGACCTGAACTAAAATTTCTTGTTATAGGGGTTTGTTATTCATAGGTTCTCTTTATGGAGATGTTTTAAAAGTATTTGAAAACCAATTTTACTTCGGTCAAGCTCTTTGGAGTGGGCAATATAGAACTTTTTAAAGTATTTGAAAACCAATTTTACTTCGATTCACCTCATGAAAGTACTTTCCCCCACATTCTTCTTTTGTTTGACTCTATTATTATTATCATCATTCCTCCTTGAATTCTCACTTCTCAAGATCATTGATATGATTTGAAGTATAGAAGCATCAGAAGAGTGGGCAATATAATGGAATTCAAACTGGTGACTCCACAACAACAATAACATCAAACAAATAACAAAATGAAGATCTGTAGTGCTGCTTCAGGTAGCACTAATAACTAAATCCTAACAATAACAACTACTATAGTAATCAAAGTTTTGAACTATAATATAAATTATTGTATCATTTGGTACACATATGATATATGACATAATATAAGTTATGCTCAAGAGTGCGCTTTAAAGGCCATGCGCCTTCATCTCAATTCATAAGTATTTTAAGTTCTTGGTAAAATCATATTGAAATAACCTATTATTACAACACTTACATAAGAGAGATATCTTGGATACACCATATTTAAACTATCTCATATAACTTTTTCGTTTATCTCAATAAGAGATATAACTCAACCTTCTTTTAGTTACAAATTAGGACAATTATATATATACATGGATGATTTTTAAAATATTAAGAAGTGTGTTTTATCAATTATTTAATCAGTTATATTTTTACCATTTTAAACTATCAATCATGGGTTTTCCAATCCAAAGGTTGGGTTTCCAGTCTGATGATTATTTTAATATCTTCCTCTCTAATGATCTCAATGCGTAAGCCTTTGGAATCCTTTTTGCAATCATTTTCCCATAATAAATAAATGGTAAGTGACAATACCTCATTTATATAATCCACATAAAGGGTTATGCCAAATTCTCCCATAATATTTGTTATCATTACGTTTCGCATTTTTGCTTTTGTTATGGCTGCTTGATTATCATAATTTATTAACATAGCATATGCCGGTTTGCCAATGTAAGATAAACAAGCTCAAAAAACCTTTAATTCACTCCGCTTTTCAAGTTGCAATTTTAAGTGCTATAAATTCTTCTTTCTTAGTAGATCTAAAAATTAATGTTTGTTTATTAGAATTTATAATACCCTATCAACATAAAATGTGAATATCTACTAGTGAATTATGTATCATTATTATCAATAGTCCAAATAACATCACAATATCCTTCTAGTACTATAAAAAAACCACTACAATTAATGCAATAGTTTATCATCAGTAATTCAACTAGCATCATAACATCCCTCTAGTGTCATAGAAAAATCACAATATTGAATGTAATAGTTTATTGAGTCTTATAAATATTTAAAAATTATTTATATTGCTTTCCAATGAGTTTCACTTGGGTTACTAGTATATCTAGTGAAATTTTCTACAACATAAGCAATATCAGGCCAAGAATAATTTCTTAGATGCTTAAGACAATCAGCTATTTGTGAATATTTTAATTGTAATACGCTATCACCTAAATTCTTAATAAGATGTAAACTAGAGTTATATGGAGTGTCTACAGTATTTATATCCTGATAATTAAATTTCTTAAATTGTATATGAATAAAATGTGATTGTGAAAAAAATTATTTATATTTCTATTAAATTTTCTGCCTAATATTACATTACATTTACCTAATCATTCAAATTGATTGAAGTTAACAAAAAATAATTAATATTCTTAATAATATCTAAAATTGTGCTAAAAATTAAAATATCATCCGCATAAGGATGTAAAATAATATAGCATATCAATAGTCTTAATATAAATATATTTTTCAGAATCACTAATCAATTAGTTATATGATAATATTATTTTATCAAAATTTTATGTCATTATTTAGGAAGTTCATTTAATACATACTATGAATTTACTAATTTACAAACTTTATTTTCTTGAACTTTTACTATAATTAAAATTTCAGATTGATTCATTTAAATTTCTTCATCTAAGTTACCTTTTAAGAATATGGTCTTTACATCCATTTGATATAAAACTAGATTATATGCTGAAGATAATAATGAAAGCAAAAGTATAATAAAAATTCTTCCAATAGGAGAATAAATATCAAAATAATCAACAACACATTTTTGTTTATTTCATTTGGCTACTAATCTTACTTTATATTATCTATATATCCATCTGAATTTAATTTCAACGTGAAATCTAATTACATCCAATAAGTATACAATAATGAGATGAATCATAAAGTACTCAAGTCTTATTTGATAAGATCATAGAATCTATTTCATTATCCATGGCCTCTTATAAGAAAATATCTATAAATTTATAACTTCTTCAAATTTGAAAAGATCATTTTATAGAATAAATGTTTCACTTAAAAGAGAATAAAAATCATCACCTAGATTTTTTTCTCTTCTAATTTTCTTACATTTTTAAATATTTTTCTTATTTTGACTAGTTAAAATAGTATGATCATTACTTATTATAAATTTTTTATATTGATGATTCTTTTTTATCAATTGATTTTATAATTATTTCTTTCATAAGTAATATATTTTAAAAAAAAAATTGTCATCTCTAGATTTATAATTTTATTATTAGAAATATCACTAATATATGAGTTAATAATAAGAAATCCTATAAAAACACCATCTACAATTTTATATCCTAAATCTCCTTTTTAATATTCTAGAATGAATATTTTAGCTAAATAACTTCAAATTCTTAAATATCTTAAATTTAAGTTTTTTATTTTTTAAAAAATTTATAAGATATTTTATTAGAATCATAATAAGATCATACAATTTAAGATAAAATAAGTTGTTACTAAAGCTTCCGTCATATATTATTTAGTAAATTTGAGAAGATTAACATTATACTTATTATATCAATTAATATTCAATTTTTTGTTATTCTACTTCATTAGATTAAGATGAATATAAAGAAGTAACTTAATGTATAATATTTTTCTTACAAAAATTATTAAATAAAAGTGAAATATGCTCCCCATCTTTAATTGATCATCTTAAATTTCAAAATATATTTATTAATTGATTTTCTACTTCTAATTTCTTCTTCTTAAACATATCAAAAACTTTATATTTAGTTTTCCTTAAAGAAATAATGAAAATTTTTGAAAATAATCAATAAAAATAATAAAGTATCTTTTACTACCTATAATCAAATTATCATTTAAATCACAAACATTACTATGTATGAATAAGATCTAATAAATCATTTTGTTTAACGAAAGTATATTTAAGGGATTTTCTAGTGTATTTTGCTTGAGAATAAATTTCACACTCCACATTTTTATTTCTATCATTTTTGGACAGTAAATTCAAATGCATCATCCTTCCAATTATTTTATAATTTACATATTTTATATTTTATGCTAAATATCAATTGAAATAATTAATAAAATGGAGGAATTTACACAAGGTGTTATTGCTACATAATAACAAATTTAGCTTAAATAAAAAATGGCATAAATATCTAGTTTCAACAAAAGATCTATTTTGGGTTATAATAACCTTATTTGACTTAAATACAAGACAATAATCATGTTAAACAAGTATTTAACTACTATTTAAATTTCTACTATTATTAGGTAATGTAAAATTGAATATAATTTGAAAACTTTTCTTGCTCTCAAATTTAGATCAATATCTCCTACTCCAACCGGGCTTGTTAATGCTCCATTGTTCATGCTACACTTCCTCATAGTGTATATTGATAGGCAAAAAAAAACTAAGACTTAACAAAACTTACATGTATAGTCACCTTGGCATCTATCCATTAATTGGCAGAATAATATGAAAAATTAATTCAAATCTAGAGCTACCATGCCTCAAAGGAAAAGATTAGAAATGAAGTGATCATATTAATTTGTGGTTGAGAGTGATTTTGCTCAAAATTTTGCTTTTTGTTCATGTCTTATCTTTCTGATAATATCATGCATTTACAAGATGCTTGGTTCTCCCACATATCCGGTATGTAATCACATTATGTTTTTTTTTTCTTTTTGCTATTCTTATGTGAGATTTATCTCTTAAATTTTTTATAAAATGATTTAAAATTTTTTATTTTAAAAGAATTTTTTCTGTTAAAATGACATGCATTTGATATTCAATTTTAGTGAGATTTTTATCATTTATTATTATTTTTTTCTACTCTAAGTGATAACATACTATCATCAAGAGACATCTTATTTCTACTATGCTTAAGTGTTTGCACAATTTGAATCTATCATGAGGATAATTTTTTTGTTATTGATGCAAACATAAATGCTTCCATCATATTTATGTCATGTTCATTTAAATATTGAATAATATTATGATATTTATTTATTTGATCAAATATAGTATAAGAATCCTCTAATTTATATTCATTGAATGATTCAATCGAATCTTTTTCTAAGCTAATATTTTTATTTTGTATTTTGATTCAAATGTTTTCCAAAGTTCAAAAGAATAAATTGACATGTAAAATATTTCAAAATGATTATTAGAAAGTACACTGAACAAGTTTGTGATCAACATAAAGACCCCAATTTAAGTAAAAAATGCAAAAAAAAAAGGACAAATATAACTAAGCAAATGGTGAAAGTACGAGCATGAAAGACTTGTAGCCGATTTTTCAATTTTCATAAATTTAAAAAAATATTTTCTATAGTGCGTTGTGAAATACTTTGCACTGTTTATACCCACCATTTATTTATGGCGATGGTTTCTCAATACGAAGATTGACACTTTTAAAAGTTTAGGTGTAGGGTGGTGGAAGGGGAAGATCAATAATCGCTCCACAACGGAGAGCATTCAAAGGCATGTTGTACTCATCCCTGAGAGATCGCTCCGGTGAGAGAACGCTAATATAAAGCTGTTGCCCAAGATAGCGGCGGTCCCAAATCTCAGACCTCAAGTTCCACATACCAGCATTATCAAATGTCAACATGATTGCCGTCCATGAACTGGGATACACCTGGATGGTGTGCCTGCTCACAGCATCAAGCAAATTGTACGTGTTTCTATTCTCTGGGCACCACTTGCCAGGTCCCATTCCAACTGGGAAGAAAGAATAACCATTGAGATGGTATGACTGAATGCTCCTCTCAGGGTTCTCAAGTATGATCTCAATAAACGTCCTGAACACTGTCGTGATCACGTTAGGGGCTATAGTGACAAGCGTGCCGGGAATTGGGGGCTCGTCCGAAATTTGGTTGTACTTGAAAACAGTGCCATTGATCCCAAAATACTCGGCAAGCTTAAGAGGTACAGTGGGGTCAGTGTGAGACACACCGTTGAGTGCAAAGCGAAGCTTTTCGTCGACTGCAGAAGTTGAGCTGGCGAGCTTAATTGTTCGAGTGATGTTGATCTGACCGTAGTGGTATGAGCCCTGTGGGTTGGGTCTGGCAGCGCTGGCAGTGAGATTCCAACGGAATGAGCGCCATTGGTTAAGAGACCAAGCCCAAGTCGTTGGTGCGGAACGGAGGTCAGGGTTTGCCGGGATGTTGCTTCCGCTATAGCGGATGATGGCGGTAGTGGTCTGAACCGTTTTTTGAAACCGAGTGGAGGCCACAAGGTAGTAGTCGCGTGGAGATTGGTCTGCTGCGACGAGCACGGAGTAGCATTGCCCGGCATGGACATCCAACGAATTGTAGACGTTCTGCACAGTGTGGCTGCCGTCTACTTCCACCAACTTCAGTGTATGCCCCTGAATTCTGAACTTATGGTCGGATGATCATAATTAGTCAACGAGTAATATTACTACATTCTCACAGAAATATAATATATATATCTATGTGTGTGTGTAGATGTTGTTATAAACTTTTTTACTTAAATGGCTCAATTAGTAGTAAAAGAGGCGAAATTTTAAAATGACATAAAATGCCTAGTATCAGCGTCTAAGCCACGTCAGCTTACAATCACCACTAACACTAACGTGGCAATCAACTTGTTTAAAAAAATTTTTAATCTGTAGAATTGTTAAAAATTTTGTCATCAATACACGGATCAAATCTCAATTTTAAAATAAAATTTTAGTTTTTGAACTTTCTTTTAGACATAAAAAATCAAATTTCTGCCATCAAATCAAACTTAAGGTGAGAATTCGAAGGCAAATCGCAAGAACGGAGAAAAAAAATAAAAAGAGCCTTCGTTGCCGGTATTCCTTAGCAATAGCAAGAACGGGGGAAAAAATAAAAAGAGCCTTCGTCGCCAGCATTCAATGGCAAATCGCAGATCTAAACACATGCATACCAGTCAAATTACACGGTACAAGAGAAACAAAATAAAGAAATATAGAAGAAGATGGGTACCAAACCATCGTCGCAGGAAGCCTTCTTCGACGGTAGCTAAAGTTGACTGCGGAGTTCGGCGCCGGCTGTGGATAAGAAGACCGAAAGGGTCGAGTTTCGTTTTTCTTCAGGAAGGAGTCGAGAACAGCATGATCGGAGATATGGCAAAACGAATAAGAAATTTGAAATTTAGGGCATTCGGTGAGTCAGCAACAGAGTTGCCTAGTCAGCGGTGACTCAGTTCTGCTGGCAAGTGACATAAAAGAGGACTGGACGACTTCGTCAATTCTCAATATTTTTTATTGTCAATTTAATAAAAAATTAAACATATCATTTTAAACATTTCGCCAATAAAAAGACAGGTTTACTTTTTTATGGTAATACATTTATATTACATATAATTTTTAAAAGTATATTAATAATATTTAAATTAAATAAAGATGAGTTTATCGAACTTAAAAAATTTCATTTGTTGTCGCTGAACAAGATTTTAAAGATCCATTTTAATCTATTTTGATTTAAGTTTACAAAAAACGAATTTCAAACAAGGCACACCTTGATTATAATTTGTCAATTTAGAATTTGATTATAAACGTTGAAAATAGTATTTTCACACCGCACCTACCTAAGTGCGGTGACAGCTTTCTAGCAGCAGTCTGACTTTTCCGAAAAAAATTAAAATTTATAATAGTCACCACACCTAGCTTATCAGCAAATTATTCAATAAGCTGCAGCTGCCCCAAACAGACCTTAAGTTTACAAAGAATGTATTTCAACCAAGATTGACACACCTTGATTATAATTTGTCAATTTAGAATTTGATTAGAATAAAAATATTGGTGCTTTAGTGAGGTCGTGGACCAAATTACCTGAAGTTGAGCGATGCCTTGAGCCCGACATTGCACACGCGGAAGCGGGAGACGTTACCAGCCACGCGAATCCGTTGACAAGCACACCGCGAGCGCGGGTGAGGCGTCGGCCAGAGTCGAGCATGCGAGCAAGGTCCTTATGGCTGATGCCGTACCAGTCGGACATTAGCACGTCAAACTCATCCGCAGGCGGGTCAAATGGAACGGGGATGAGAAGGCGACTATGGACGCGAATTGGCCCATACCCACCAGCAGCCTTCTGCATGCCAATGCTGGGGTAGTAATAGAAGCTGCCGATCTGGTCCTTTGGTTGCCAATGGTAGGTAAAGTTTTGGCCGGGTGGGATTGGGCAGTTGGTGCCCGGCATGCCGTCCTGCCAAGAGTTCTTGCGCTGCTGGATGCCGTTCCAAGAAAGGAGGAAAGGCTCGTCCAGTTGGTTGAACACGTTTACGACGATATTGTTGTTGCTGGTACAGTTGATAACGGGTCCCGGGAATTGATTATTGATCATGATTACTTTTTGGGGGACACCGAAGGGGGAGATGATGCCGTAGCTCACCGTCCATGTGAAGTAGAGGTAAGGGTCCTCAGACCGAGCGGATATGAAGATGAGGAACAAAACAGCGAGTGCTACCCCAGACTTCGTCGTCGACATTGTTGCTTTCGCTTGTAAAGGTTGCTCTGTTTTGATTAAGGAGAGACCTTAGCGAGACATGAATGGAAGGTCCCAGGGCTTATTTTGAGGGGATTGAGAGGCAGAGCTAGCCTGGGAAGAGGATTTAGAGAGACAAGAGGTTGAGTTGTTTTATAGGAAGAGAAGCGTAACTTGTCTTGCCAAATTTGGATCCGAGGTGGCGGTTTAATTTGGAAGGAAGGAGAGCTCTGCATTCAACGGCAAATGCCAGACGGTCATGGGTATAGAAGAACGGAGGGAAGGAGAACAGAGGTTTGCTGTCTAGTCTTAATTTGGGAGGCGGTTGTTTCTTGGGGGTTTGGGCTGTGTGCCTTGTTAGTTTGGGCGAAGATGACTAATTTGGGAGAAACTTAACCGCTACTCCGCTCACAAATAGTTTAAAAAACTTTTGTTATTGTACAATAATTAAAGAAAAACCTTCTTAGATCGGAGAATAATTAATTGAGTTTGAAACAAAGGATATTATAAAATATTTTATTCAAAATTATGTATATAAGGAAGCAAAAGGCAATAAAAGGGATAATAAGAAGGATTTCATTTTTGGCGAGGCAATCATTTATTTTGTTAAGCCTAGCAATGAGGTGGAGATGGAGAAGAGGATGGAGAAGAGGTGAACGAGAATGAGGAGATAATAGAAACAATCCCTTGTTATCATATTATTAAACTCACTTTAGTTCAATCTTCTCTCGCCCAATGCTTTCCTCTATTCTTCTTTGGTTGGGTGTTTCTTTTAACAAAAAAAATTTGGCTTGGAAGGAGTTCACTAGCCTAGGATGCCCTAAAGAACTATTGGTGTAGCTACGCCTCCTTTAGGCATAGTTATGCCACTCCACAAAGCGGTACCAGCAGTGGCATAGAAATGCCAGTTGAAACCATGGTGTCACCCCAAACGGTGCCTACACACCTGACTGGTGTGATTATGTTGGTGTGGCATAATTATTCCACCACAACCAAGAGAGTGATATAATTATACCATTAGATGGGGGAGCTACGCTGCTGACCCGCTCGATGCCTCATTTTGCCTATTTCTATCACAATTCAAACCTCTAACAATTATAGTTCATTCTTTCCCCATTAAAAAGAATAGGAAGCTTTCTCATGATAGACACAACTTCTCTCCTCTTCCGCTTGGTCTTCCCCTCTCCCTCTCACTCTTCCCTCTCCCTTTCACTTTCTCATGCAAGTTTCTATTGCTCAATTTCTTTCACCTGTTCAGCCTCTTCTAACACACATATTCCTCGTCCTCCTCCTCTCTGTTCAATAGGCATCAAAGGAAATCTACTTCAAGTTGTTGTAATGTAACAAGATCTTCACCATGTAGATTCATATGTGCAATCTCCTTGCATGTGTGGCCCTACGTTAATTTGCTTTCATCTGTAAGAATTTCATGTATGGATTTTTATGCGCAATCCTATGCATAGGTGCTCTCCTTCATATGTAATCTTCATACTGTGTAGATTCTCCATATTTAGTCTTCACCATGTGTAGATTTTCTATGTACAAACTTTTTCATATATTGATGTGTTAACTATGTGAACTTGAAATATTTTCATGTGTAGTTTCACGTGCTTTCAATCACGTACACAAGCCAAGGCTTACTTCCTACTTCCCAAAGTAAGCTACTCCTAACGAATCTATTACATTCTCCTCACCTTGCTCACTGCCTTTTCCCCATTCACAAACTCACATCTGATAATGATTGCATTATTTTCCTTATTAAATCTAGCTTCATCATTAAGGATTGGAGGACAAACAAATCAATTTTTCAAGGAAAAACGGTCTCTATCCCATCAAAACTCTCTCAGTAGTTTGAAATCTCTCCAAACTCAACTGATACCTTTTACACAAATGTTTCAAGAACGGCTCAACTAAACATGCCCTCAATCAAGTGTTAAATAACACCAAACTTAGCACATAACTTCACAAACTTTTGCACGGTTAAACGATTGCATGACTATTTTGAGATTGGACAAATTTTTATTTAATCATTGCTTTAATGGCAATTTGACTTCATTTTAGGTTTTTTTTTTAGCAAAAACTCCATTATAAAATTACATTAATTAGGCTTTAATGTAATTTGGCTTGTTTGAAATAGCTTTTAAAAGCTGTGCTTTTTTTAAAACATTATATTATATATTTTTGTCAATTTGTCCAGTTCTAATATTTATCTAAAAACCAAATAAATGGCGTTGAATTGATTTCAAGCCAAAATAAAAGGGCTTACACAGTAAATAGCATCTCCACAAAGGATGCTGGCATACCTTAATTATGCATTAAACCAATATAGGAAGATTTAAATACGTACCATTTAATTCCATCATATCTACATTCTAAAAGTTAAAATAGTATTATTTTTAATGTGATGAAAAATTTGAGTTGTATAAATGTAAAAAATAAAGTTCAGATGTCAAATATGTACATAAATAAAAATTGAGTAGTATGTAGACATTAACCAATGTTGTTCAAGCAACAATGAAGACAATTTAACATTTTCAAAACTTTCCCTCGTTTAAACCAAAACTAGCATACATTTCTAGCAAATATGATTTTCCATTTCCCTTTTCTTCCTCGAATGTTATTGCCGAGTATATATCAATGTGAGAGCTTCAACTCTAAACATTTTTATAGCGAAAATGAATGGCAATCAATCAAATAAATTGAGTTGTGCGCACTTACGCAAAGCGAGATTAAAGGCAGGCTTTGCACTCTTCTCATGGAAAACTTTGCCCAAGTTTAGTGAACTACAAAAGCTTGCTGCAATCATTACCCAACTTTTTAGCAGGAAAACATGTCTTATAAATCAAGCTTTAGAGCTATTTTGTTTGAGTGAAATTAGAAGTTTTGAAATACGATGAATCTATTAACGGATCTGTCATCAAATAAGATGACAATATTTCAACTAACAAAAAGATAGAAATTATAATCATCATTTTTTAAAACCCAGGTTTGGGTTGCGTGCCTTGTTAGTTTGGGCGAAGATAACTAATTTGGGAGAAACTTACAGCAACTCTGCCGGAGAGAATTTTCTTACCTGTTGATAATACACTGACCAGCAAATTAATATTATTAGGCCGAGACGAGTACCTTTAGAAAAATGGGAAAAAAAAACAATCTTATAGCATTTTTATTCAAATTTGGAATCTAAATATTTTATTCTAACCTTTTTCATGAATCACATCAAAAAGATAGTAAAATAGGAGAGAGAAAAATTGAGAGACAGAGAAATGTCAAATAATGAACAGTAAAATGGATTCTTGATTAACCCATTTTGAAGAAATGATCTCCCTATTTATTAGAGAACGAATACAATATATTTTATTATATCTCACTTTAATAGGAGTGTTACATGATATTTTAGATATTTTACATATATAGGCCTTCAGTTTTGGTCGACGGAAACCAGTAAATCTTAGTTCGACAAGATCTATTCACCTGACTGTGTTGAATTCAGGTTGTCGATTGACCTTTGAAGACCTTCGGGTCGACTTGGCTTTATAATTTGGCTATTTGTGTTTCTCTGTCAACTTTTGATCCTTGGGTGAGAAAATTCTGTTAACAAAGAAATCTAAGTTATCAAGCTGCGAGTGAATCACAACAATCTGATAGTTAACTCAGTACTTGACGAGGATATCCTTTGATATACTCCACTTGAATACGTTATGGGAAGTTCTTGACCCCTGATGAGGAATCTTAAGGGCCTCTGTGAAATGACTAGAGTTGATGAACTTTTTTTTTGAGTTGGGTTGTGGCGAGTGGAAGACCGACGCCCTTGCTCGGCTCAATGTGCCTTGGTCTTTGGTTTGGATGGCCTGCATTCGATTGGCCTCTAGCCTCCATTCAAGGGTTTGCGCTTAGTCAAGTCATTTGGTATTCCGCTGATGAACTCCTGGTCTTTCGATCATTGATGCTTTGGTCTTACACATACGAACCTTTTGGTCTTGCGCATGTGAACCCTTTGGTCTTCTTCTTCCACCTGTGGACCTTACTTAAATGTTCTCTTTTGTCCTATTATTGTTGGATGTCCTCAATATTCGTGTTGTCGTATTTTTAATGTATATTTTTTAGTTCTCTGATTCTCTTACTTTTTGAAAGTGAAAGCTGCGATAAAAATAAGAAAATTAAATGTAAAAGTATATTAATTAATTTTGTAATCAATATTTTAATAATTACACTCCCTAGATTTATATGCCCATGTTCTCTATAAATATGGGGTGATTGGTAGCTTTGATATCAACATTTGCTTTCGCATCTGTGTCTCTTAGACAGTCAGCCTTTAGAGCATATTTATGGAAAGCGACAATAAACTTTCGAGTGTTATGCCAAGTGATGATATGATGAATAAGGCCTTTGGATTGCCCCCACTGTAGATGCAACATGAGGCGAATAAGGAACCACAGAGTGAGAAGCCCAAAAGGAAGAAGAGGTCGGAAGAAGGAAGCAGACCGGAGAGTGAAAGGTGGATGAAATAACTTTCCTATAAGAAGTAAAGGTCATATGAGTTGGTGGATGAAGTAGTCACTTTAAGACCATCGACGGGAGAGGGAACATGCTTAAGGAAGCAGGTAGAGAAATCCAACCGCTTGCACATCGATCCCTTCTCCAGTGACCCTTGGTCCGTCGCTTGATCCTTTCTTGTAGGAACTCATTAGATCCACATTGTTTGGGAAGCAAAGAACTATTGGTGACCACTATAGGCCAATGGAAAGAGGGTTGTGTGACTACCTCGCCACCACCAAGGATGCACGAGAAGGTTAGTGAGAGTGATGTCTCTTTTACAACATCTAGGTGGGATAGAATTATTGGTATGAAGAGTTTCAGTTTTGTTCTAGTTGAACTATTCTTTTCTAAAGTTTATTTTCTCTTTATGTTGTCTTTTGATATAAATATGACACTAAATAGGACGCAATGGAGAAAAATGATTCATTTAGTCGACCCCAAGTAGTGGGATTAAGGCTTTGTTGTTGTTATTTTTTTATATTTCCTAGTCAATTATAGATCGAACGATGATACACCGAAAATATATGTATTTTTAGACCCATATTTTATACTTATTTTTGATGATATTACACTTTAATGGAAGATATTTTGATATTTTTTTTGTAGGTTGTCGATTTTTAAGGCTTAAAGCAAAAAATAAAGCAAAAAGAGTAAAATTTGGAGTCAAAATGACGTTTTTGAGAAAATACTCAGCGCTAGCAGTGCCAAGGTCAGCGCCGATGACGCA